CTTTTTTCAGATTTTAGGGGTTGAAAATTTTAGGTTGCTTAAGTCTTATTAGCCGATTAAAGTTTTTTTGTCTTTTTGTGTGCGTGTGTGTGTGTGTTTTGTTTGGAATGATTCGGTCAAATCCCATGGTTCTGTCATCCGGGGGTCATTGGGGGCTTTCACTTTGATTAATCACAAGTGATTGGAAGGTACTTTATTAGCAGTCATGGGTTGTCTCTTCTAAAGTACCTTCTCAAGCCAAGCTACATTTTTGGAGTTCATGTTTAAGTTTTAGTAACTTTTAGGGTGAAATTTTATGTTGTTTTGTTTAGGTTGGTTTGTAGGTTAACCCAAAATTGCCCTTGACTAAGGTTAAGTATGTTTTTGTTCTTTTTCAAGAAGTCAAACACTCCTTAACCTTCAATCAAAGTTTAGCTAAGTCTGGGTTAGCACAAGTTAGGATGGATTGATCTAACAAGAGTCCTTAACCAATCCAAGTTATCTCAGGTTCATCTCGGGTCGATTTTAAATTAACTTAAGTCAACCAAAGTTTAACAAGATTGACTCAGGTTGGTCTAGTTTGATTGGGGTCAAGCTAAACTCGATTTAATTTAGACTAACCTAAGATGAGATCGAGTGGATCCAAATCAAGTTAGCTTCGAGTTATCAAAGGTTGGGTTGGGCTGACTCAAGCTAAACTTTCTGAGTTAAGCCTAATCTAACTTAAGTTATACTCAGGTAGAATCTGAACCAATTTAGATTTGATTTATCTTTTAATCGAATTAAGTCTAATTTAATGTAGATATGAATTTATTTAAACTTGGTTTTAAGTTAGATTTAAATCAAGTTCGACTTTGAGTTTCGGTTGGATTGACTTGAGTTAAGTCGGATTGGGGTTGATGTGGGTTTACTTGAGTTAGCTCTAATGTGGATTTAGACCTAAATTTGACCAAGGATTTCAGTTTGATCTAATGTGGATTAGACCTAAAATTTGGGTTTTGTTTATTGTTGATTAGACCTATAGATGAATCTAGTGTTTTAAAATTGAATTTTAGGGCAAATTGAGCGAAAGTGTAAAATTTTACGTTTTTACCCCTAGTTTCATAATTTTCATTTTAGAGTTTTCAATGGTGAAAATTGTCGTTTAGGGTTTAATTTCTCAGCCTTAAATTTTCTAGTCAATTTCCATTTTTATTTTTAATATTTTATTTTTTTATAAATATTTTTCAAAATAATTACAAATTTATATAAAATTAATCATTTTAATGTTAGGAAAGCCCCCGACCTTGAAAAAATAATATAATATTTCCAAGGGTGGATGGAAGAATCCCTAAAATTTTCAAATTTTTTGAGCTTATATTTAATTTTTAATAATTAAATTAATCCCTGGAGTATTATAAAGACAATCACCAGTCGTAATGTCGTGTTCGATGAAAAAGTAGAATGAGTTTGGGACCCACATGATGAGCACTACAACTTCTTCAAGGATGAAGAAGTGGAGCAACCAAGTGTGGAGTAAGAAAGAGATGAGCTCACTACACCAACTACACCAATTGCATATACTGAAGGGGACCCATCATCTTCAAGTCAAGGGTCAAGCGAGAAAGTACCACGATTCAGAAGTCTACAGGAAATTTATGAGGTAACTAAGAATCGAGCCAATCTTACTCTCTTTTGCCTTTCTGCTAATTGTAAGCCCTAAACCTCAAGAAGTTGCTCAAAGTAAAGAATGGAAGGATATCATGGAAGAAGAAACCAAGGCAATCGAGAAGAATGATACATGGGAGCTAGCTGCACTTCCAAAATGACACAAGACAACTGATGTGAAGTGGGTGTACAAATTAAAGAAGAATGTGAAAAAAGAAATCCAGAAGTATAAAGCATGATTGCTAGCAGAAGTTTGCAACCAAAAAGTTGGTATGACCATGATTGAAGTAAGCATATCGATAGACCCTATCACTGCATCATAAGAAAGGATGTGCAAATGGAGTATGTGAAGACTCATGATCAAATAGTTGATATATTCACCAAGTCATTCAAGTATAAAGATTGATCGGGATGACAAATCAAGTTTAAGAGGGGATGTTAAGAAAATTAAACTTGATTTAATTTGGGCTTTTAATTGAGCCCACAATCAAGAATAGTCTATTGGAAATTCTAGAGACTAACTTTATGATGAATGTTTTAGAGAGATATATTTTAAAGGAGTATTCTAGAGAATTCTAAAATAAGTAATTAATGAATTTGATAGCAGTAAAAAGGAGAATATTCTTGAGAGTCAATAGTAGTCGTTGGATTAAAATGTGTTTGCACAATCCTGATGGGGTTATCACTTGTATAAATAAATGTGGTTGGTTTGAGTTTTGTATCAAGAATACATTAAAAATTGTAAGAGTGAAATGAAAGTGAGTTTTACAAGTGTTTATTTTTTGTCTTTTTAGCATTCATCCTCCTACAATAGCGTCTTATCTTCCAAAAGAGGTGGTGCGGCCAGTTGTTTGGAGTCATCGACTCGTGAAGTAGGGACAACCGGTGCTATGTGGTAGCCATGCACAGATCTACAGGAGAAGAGATTATGTGTTGTTGTGCAAGTTACCTTGTATGCTCTTTCCTATGAGTGCCTCTCTGAAGTGTTTTTGTTCGGTGTTGTTCCTCTTCTTGTTAATGGCACTATCCACACTCACCTCAGCCAATGAGATAGAACCTAGTGAACAAGGGAGAGAATGAGGAGGAGGGAGGGAGGGAGGGAGGGAGAGAGAGAGAGAGAGAGAGAGAGAGAGAGAGAGATCTTGCCCCGTAATGGCAAAGATGGGTGTTTTTTTTTTTGCCCCTTTTATTCCTCAAGAAAAGGCGATTACAAAAGAGCGGAAGAGAAGAGAGTTGTCCCTACATGAGGGATTGAGGGAAGAGAGCCGAAGAGCCCTTTAATATAAATAATGACTCCTCTATTTATAGAAGATACAAAAAGAGTAAATACAATGTTAAATCCTTACCCTTTTTTTAAGGAGAGTAGTGCAGGTTATTCTTAGCTTCTTATCTGGACCGTTAGATTATCTCGAGCTCCATGCAGATTATTTTTAGGTGTACATGATGTGAGATATGTAAATATATAAGAGTAGAGTAGCGTGCATTTAAAGCTTCCTTAATCTTATAAAAGAGATTTATGATTTGGTGAGATTTTTATTCACAAGTGCCCAATTGGGTTAAAGTGTGAGATAAACTACCAACTGCCTTCAATCGTCCCTAGCGGCAATCTTGTAGAGGGTGCAACAAGTTGTGTGTTTGATCAACAACAACACAGAGGTGTCTGAGGTGTTCTCTCGCATGAACCTCCTGTTTCAGTTCATGTATTCGAAGCGAGCATTCATGTACTAGTACGTCGGCAAGGGATGGAAGATGGTGAGTTCTCGAAGGTGAGGGAGGATCTGGCGGCCCTCGGGAAGGATTATGAGGACGTGGGGACTGAGGGTTGTGATGATGGCGGAGAAGCAGAAGAGGACCACAGAGTCAGGTAAGGATTGTGTTCAGTTTGGGCGTGTTGGTTGTGTTATTGTCGAGGTTTGTTGTGGTGTTCTCTGTGAATCGTATTGTCTTATTTCATATATTTGTAATTTGTAATGGTATTTTTGCTTAATTTATTATGGTGAATTGGGTTTCTTAAACTTCCTTTTGGTTGATGGAAACTTTTGGATTCTTTTTAGGCTCATAATTCTTTTATCAAAAGAACTAATTTGTGGAAATATAATTTTATAGAAATTTAAAATAGCTTTAAGAGTAAGTTAAAAATACTTTTTTACTTACTAGAAACTAACTGTCTGAACCTGACCTTCTACTTCGGATTACATTACTAAAATGTTTGGGCCATTTACATGATTACATATCTTCCATTTCATCTATATATATATATATATATATATACCTTTCACTTAAAACTTTTATATTTACATTTATACCATCCGAGTCTTTCATATTACATAATACTATCATTATTTTAACTTTCAAAAGGTGAAATACACATCTTTATGTACAAATAAGGTGGCACATATGTAAAATTTAAAATTTGGAAGCTCGATATATAAATAAATGAAAACATCACTAGCACACAATTCAAATGTATTTACATATCTCACACGTAAACTTTCATATTTACATGCATAACATTTTGAGGCTTTACAGATGGGTTTCATTTTCTAAGTGAGGCATTTATATGTGTAACACACAATTCCTACGTATTTACTTATCTCACATTTAAAGTCTGTTTGAGACAGCTTGTGCATTTCAGAACAAGTAGCTTATTCTAAAACGCGGCCCGCGGGTCGACCCGCGGCCTGCATTTATTGTAAAAAACCCAAACGCAGCAGACATTATTTTCAAAAACGAGCAAACCAAACAGTTAGACAGCATTTTCAAAAACACCGCCACATTTATAAGCTGCCCCAAACGGCCCTTTAAACTTACACTCAAATCATTAATATTGCATCAAAAACCATTCTATTATTATTTTTAAAAGCAAAATTTACCTTATCAAGCATACATTTAATGTTAAAACAAATAAAAACGGCGTGCTACGCATGCAAACTTCTCATAACCAAAACAAGATGACAAACGGCGTGCTACGGCGTGCTACGCATGCTACGTAGCATCCAAACTATTATTATTTACAAATCTAGCACCCATTTTCGTCTACTTCTCAAATTCTCGCTCAAAATATCAAAATTCATGATAAAACACCAACTCATATTCTCCATGATTTGATGGTGGCACGCGTAAATACATAGACTCGGTTGTTATTTGTAAATAGTAATGTTTTGGGTGGGTATTTATGTAATTATCCCATAAAAATAATAGCCCAACAATTCATTTAACAAATCATAATCACTTTCAGATCCTGAAAAAAGATATAAAATACGCCAAAAATGCCGCTATCTTCACCCAAAGAGCAGGAATACAGCAAAATAATAAACATGCAAAAATCTCAAATCCACCAAAAATTATAAAAACAAAAATATTATTTTAAAATAAAAATAAAAATAAAAATAAAAATAAAAATAAACTCCCCTTCGCACTAAGCATGCTTAGGACAGAAGGTGATATTTCCTATCACCCCTATTATGCACATGGTACAACACAAGCCCCAACCAGAGACGAGAGACTCTCATGCTTCTGCTCTAAAACGAGCACCACAACAGAGCAGCTGCTGATTGCACCTGCAATCCATGCAAAAGAAATGATTGACATAAAAATATTGGGTGGGAGCAAACGATTGAACGGTATCGATCCAATTTTCCTCGACGAAGAATACGTGCCCGTGCCGAAACAGCTACTACGTGGACAGGACGGATTGTAGCGCGAGCTGCTGCTGCGGATGCAAGGCGGACCAGGTCGAGGCGAGAACTGCCGGCGGCAGAGTTTGCTGGAGCTGCCGTAATAGATTCACCATTCTGCTGGCTGTCTGCTCTGTGGCTAAATCCTTCCCAGCACATAAAACCTGCACCCGATCAAAAAACAATCAATGTTTACATATCAAACTGCTAAATTTTGCTTTTTACATTTATACCACCCAAGGCTTTCATATCACATAAAAAATACCATTATTCAGCTCAATGTTTCATTTTTTAAAAAAATTAATTTATAAGCAGCACTGGCCAATTGCTCAAATCCAACACAACCGGAACCCACCTAGATATAGATATGGCGTTTGGTTTAAAAGGCTATGAGTAGGACTGTAAATGAACCAATGCACTCGAAGAACCACTTGAACTTGGCTTGATTAAAAGACTTGATCATGCTCATTCAAATTAGTAAATAAATAAGTTTGAATAATTTTTAAAAGCTCGGAGCTTAAATGAGCTAAGCATTAACATAGTTGAATTTATTTATTTATGTTCACGATCGAACTCGTTTGTTGTTCAATAAATGACTTGTTAAATATTCAATATTAAGCTCGATGATAACTCGTATCATATATAATATATTATTTTAATAAAATTTAATTAACTATAATTAGTTAATTATGGATTTAATATTAATATATTATTATACCAATAATATTTTTAAATTAATTATTAGTTATATATTTATTTTATTAATATATAATTATTAGTTGCATAATTTATTAAAGTTTAGGTGTTAGATGTGAAAATACATAAGATTTATGTGGCATATATGAAATGCCCCTAAAAATTAACTTTAAACTCCCGCGAGCCTCACTTTCCCTCTGACCTGTCATAGTTTAATGCCTTCGGATTTTGCTCCAAACATATAAAACTCTAAGTTGCTAAGGCGTGCAAGCATCGAAAGCAACGACAATATCGTGGTGTGCAAAGATCTATGAAACTTTAGTCTCTTGTATATCTCCTCTTTCCACTCCGCTCATAATTTCTACCCGATTAAAAGTGGTGTTGAGAAAATACACTGTAATCATTATAAGTTATATATGATTAAGATTAAAGATGATGTGACAACTCAATAGAAAAGATTTATATAATTGTCCAACAAAACTAGGAAAAGATAAGTGCATATCACTATAACTATGAGAAAACCAGCATTTACATATGAATTTGAGAGTTGGGTACAAATTAGGAAGTATGATCATGCTAAATTATGAGAGATTACATTCCATAGTATGAGAGTTGATGAGTTAAATCAAAATAGAGTTCATAATCGATAAATCAATAAGTGCGCTCACATTTGTTAAATCATTTATTGTATTTTTTATATGAAAATTTAAATATTCGCTTGAATTTTTTGCTTGTTTATTAGCTCACTTAAATACTTGTTTACTCGAAATATATAAAACAAGTAGAAATCAAGTTCAAACATTAAAATTTTTAAACAATTCAAGACATGAACAACTTGTAACTATAACAAGCCAAGTTCGAACTATGATGTACTTGGCTGGGCTCAACTCAACTACAACCTTGGTTATGGGTCCATACAAGTAAAATCAAGCAATACTAGAGATTTAAACAGCTAATTTTACGATAAGGATAAAAAAAATAAAGGGGATTTATATATCCAACACCTAAACATTATTTTTTTTATATATTTATACCACCTTAAATCTTTCATATCACATAAAAAATATCATTATTTTAACATTTAAAAAGTGAAATAAAACTTTTCATGCATAGGTAAGGGGGAATATCTGAAAAAAATTAAAGTTTAGATGTTAGATATGTAAGTACAAAAAAAATTGAGAGGTATGTAAATCTTCCAAAAATAAAACAATAGGAAAGACGAAAAGTACTTAAAATATGCATAAAATCAAATTCCCATACAAACAATTGGAACAGCAGTAATAAGCTAGAAGCCTATTTTTAGTTCATTAGTTATTGGGAATACTAAATGCGGGATCTACAACAGATTCTTTTAACATTAACATTCCATTAAGCAAGAAAACAGGCTAATATCATACAAAATAAATTGTGAAGAACAATGGGTATTGGTAAGAGAAATATAAATACCTCCGCAAATACCGAAACAATTTTGGGCAAATATTGATTGTTAGGACCCAAGAGTTCTCCATCCGACCTTAAATAAAAGGATAAAACAGTAAATTTAATGCAGAATTCCATCAAATAATGCAAAAGAAAAATTGCAATATACCTTTCCACCATCATACAAAGCTGCTCATGCACTAGCTTAGCCTCAATAAGATCGCCTTTTATTGGCAAGCAGCTTAACCAAGAAGGAACAACCTGGCAAACACAGGTTATAACAAAGATAACAAACCAAACTGTGATCAACATTTAAAACAAAACATAGAATATCCCAAATTTGATAAACTTCCATAATAGGAATGCAAAAATAGAGACAAACAGCAGAATCTCATTGACCTATAATATTCCTGAATTTGTATTGCATACACAAATACGACTAAAATACCTAAACAAGGCTTTTTTATACAGAATCTGATACGGAAGACAATATGTCGTACAAGACACATAACCCCTTGCCAAGGAATCTGAAGCTTTAACATGTTTACTAGTTTTATACGAAAAATTATATTCAAGTGAAATGTCTAATTTTATAGAAAAAATTAGGAACTCATTAGAATTTTTACCCTTTTTATTAATATAAACAAGTCAAGTACAAATCAAATATCAACACTTAAAATATTAAGCAAGCAAATAATAAACATATATGAGAAAACTCTTCTCAAGCTTGAATTGAACATGCACAACTTATGATTCAACCAAGCCTAAGTCCAGACGATGGCATACTAGACCCGACTAGGCTCAATTACAGCCCTAGATGTGACGATGACCTTGTAGTTCGAGTGATATCATCTCTCTTTGCAGATGAAAAATAAAAAATAGGACACAATGTAAATGTTTGGAGATGAGTTGGAACATTCAATCACCTGAGCTGCATCAATGCTATCACGATGAAACTGGCATAGTTTTCCTAGAGCCGAAACAGCATTGTCATATGCCATTATATTGTCGGAATGCTGAGCATTAGGATGCCGTATTACATTATTTAACCGGGAGAGAGCTTCTGCAAAGCAGTAATCAGATAAATTTAAAAAAAAAAAAATTCTCTAAGAAAATTACACAGTAAAAAAGAGGGCAGTCATCACAAATACCTCCAACAAGAGGTCTAAAGACAGAACCACCAAACTCAGCACAAACACCAATACCATAAACTGCAGCCTGTTAGCAAAATTTGTTTCAAGCACAAATCAAAATAGTGTGCAATGATTCAACAAACCCAAAAGAAATAACAGCGGTGGTAAAGTGTGAAAGCTTAAGAATAAGAGAAGAAGAGCAGTTCATAAACTAGCCTGTCTAACATCTGAATTTTCATCGTTACAGGCTTCTAGTAAGAATGGCACGTAAGTAACATAGTATCTGTTTAAAGAATCAATAAACATAAAATCAAGCTCAAATATAAACAAAATATAAATTCAAACTGCAGCATCAAGGGGAAAATCCTTACTTCAGGGCTGCTTCTTGACATTGTTCAGCAACATCGTCGAAAATACAAATGGCTATTCTTCTTTCCTCAGGAGTTTTATCCTTGCCCTAAATAAAAGAAAGATAGGCAAGGACAAAGAAAAAAAAATGAAAAAGTTCAGTTATAAGCAGCTGAATACCAAATAATTCAGTTGCCAATCCAACTAAACAAGTATCTAATATCCAGGAAATATGAATCAAATTGTTTCAGCAACCAACGAATGATACTTGTTCACCCTATAAAACGGTAGAGTGCACGGCACTGAATTCCAATTGTGCTCTTGCTTTATTCCATAGTTCAATATTGAATCAAAGCATAAAATGGATGAGAAATCAGCATATTGATCGTATCTTAACATTTGTTACTATCGATAGTGTAAAACGATAACTAGCATCAATGTGACCAATTACACTTGAAGAAAATGAATAGCATGAACATTCACACCAATTACACTTGATGAAAATGAATGGTATGAACATTCACCCCGAGTAATGCTTGGTTCAATCCATTGAAAAGTAATGCCAACAAAATCATTTTGTTTTAATGTCGACTAATCAACACAAATCAAATAAAAAATTAAAATTATATTTAGATTCTGATAAAAAATGGTTGGGTGCCATGTTAGGTTGGATCAAATCTGTGGTTTTCAAACATTGCAGGCACTTGCATGCAGTGACAACTGTTACATGAAAGCATAATATGTATATGAATGCCTACAAGAATTATCTCTCTTACAAAAACAAATGGAAAAATATTCTAATTAAAGGCATAATGACAACCAAAATAAGTGAAACAAAAAAGGGGGATAAATTGAACCAGGTTAGGAATACAATTCAGTTTTCCAGCTACTCCAATAGAGGTAACATTAACAAAAAAAAGAAATGGATTCCTGTTCAAAAAATTATTGACTGAATTTAATAATTTCTGCAAAATTGCAACCATTAAAAATACTCTTCAAGCTCAATGTGCTAGTGCTCACAAAGTAGTGTCATTGAGCTTATTCCAGTAAATTAAGAAGGTAATAGTAATCAGATAAAACCTGTAAATATAGATTAAATAACGCTCTTTAAGACAAAACTAAGTTAGTAGAATGCTTTACTAATTTATTAACATAACTGAAGAAATAAACATTCAAATAAAAAGCCTAATATAGAAGAATTCTTTCTTTTCTTTTACAGGATTCAAAGCACACCACTAATAATAAAATAAACAAAAAGTCCACTGAAAAATTAAATTTTCCATCTTCAAGGAAAAAATTGATATGTATAGCAAAATTTAGAATCGGATCGGAACTAACATAATACATTTAAACAGTGAACTATTTTAGAATCGGTACTTACAATAAAAATATCAACCTCATGCATTTAACATTGTTATTCTGTGTTCAACTCACCAGCATTGCTGTTACATAAATTGAAATCTCGTCAAAGAATGGCAGGAAAGAAGCTTTAAAGGTTTTAATCAACGTGCCCAAACAGTCACCAACCTGCATGCAGCAAACAATCAAAGAAACTCAAGGGCAAGTTCTAAATTACTAGATTAGAAGTGATTGCAAATTGTATGCCAGAAAAGTACTCGAGAAGGAATTGTATAACAAATTAAACGGCATGTGAAAGAGTCTAGCATTTTAAAATATTCAAAAATATAGAGAAAATTTAGATAATTATTTAGTAGTTATTTTATAATTTATTTTTAAATTCAAAAGATTATATACCCCAGGAGTGTGGAGTTTATTCTCAATTATTTAAAATCTCTGATCAAATTTCATGCTTCTTCTTGAATTTTCCCCAATTAGATGCTAAATTTTGTTTATTTATGGATTAAGCAGGCATGAGTTGCCGTGCATGTACATATATGTATCTAATCACATGACTAGCTTTAACATGTACAGCTATCTCTATAGTGTAAACGTGAATTGCCATGCAACTACCTGCCCATAGCTATTAACATGATAAAACATGTATTTATCTCTTTCTTTACAAATTCAATATGGGTGCAAGTTGGATGCATAATTCCTTTAAGCGTATAAATGTAACTGCCTACTTATTGAAAAAGCCATCTCCTTCCGTCAATATGCAGTAATTTTTACTTTTAATAATTTCATTCCTTCGAACTAATTTCTTATAAGAGTTTCAGTTCTAGGTTATGGTCCAAGAACTGATGCATTCAAAATCTAATTTCGTGAAATTTAATTCGTTATCCCATTGATTTTATTTTTTCTGTAAATTACTATTGAATATCAGGAAATTTATGATAATTTCATCAACAATTGAACTTGAAAAATAGTATTGCAAAGTTGGAGTGATTTATCACCTGTGATCTGTAAATCATTAGCTTTGCTTTGCATGAAAATTTACTAAACATATTAATTGTATCAGAAAACCTCAGCCCTTAGTAATACTGCACTAGCATACCTGATTAAAAACTTCCTCTTCCTGCTCATTTTCTTCTTTGAGCAGATCCCCCTCATCAGCATCAAAATCCTCTGCTTTTGTCCTCTCAGCTCTTTCTCGTTTCCTTGTGGAGCTTGCGGTTATCACATGTTTGAGTTCATCCACAATGGATCGAACCTGGCCCTCACTAAGAAGCTGCCCGGCAAGCTGAACAATGGCAAACCAGAATTTAAATGTCTACCAGTTTAGCAAAACAATAAAGTGCTCAATGTCTAAATTGCCATTACAAAAACCAAAATTAGTTAGTTTTTTTTCTGACTAATTAACCAAAAAAATGCGTGAAAACAAGAATGATGCTAACGCTCTAATAAATATGAATCTCCAACTCAACTAAAAATTTATTTGAGAGGAGCTCATCCAAAACAGATAGGATGATCAAAGGTAAGAGTCAGCTAAGCTTATACAGGTGCAAAAGTTTTAACTCTAGTCGGGAATGTGACCAGCATCAGGAATTGCCAACTCGGCCATCTCAACATTATCCAGTAATAAGAGGGATTAATTAAATCCACAAAATAAATAAAAAAATGTACATGTTCAAATCTGAAGGGGTAAGAGAGAAGTATGATAGCTCTTTAGAGGTTAATATTTGTGAGGTATCCACATTCTAATTTCAAAAAAAAAAAAACAATGCAATAACAAGAAATATTTCTCGATCTCTATATTTGATGAGCCCATTTATCTTTCACAAATATACTTATTTCGCATTTTGTCTCTAAGTGTAAAGCCATTCATCCTCCAGAGTATTCTCATCTCATCAACACTTAACTCAATTTTATGCTTCTCTTTCACAGGCCAACACTCTGTGCCATGAACCATTGCAGGTCTCACCACTATCTTATAAAATATTCCTTTAAGCGGTACTTTTTCATCACACAATACACCCAATGCCTTCCTCCACTTCAACCATCCAACTTGAACTCTACTAATAACATTCCCATCTATACTAAAATCACTTCGAACAATAGACCCAAGTTATCTCAAATATTCACTCCTTTTAATGCCTTGATCGGCCATTTTTACAACCCTGAAACAAAATTTAATAATACAAAAAATAAATTCCACATATAGAGTATTAGGTCTACTCAAATGAAAGCCTTAAGACTCTAAAATTGACCTCCATAATTCAATTTTTATCCGAAACTCTCTCTAATCTTATCCACAAGAAGGATATCATTATAGCATCAGCAAAAAAGCAGACGTCAATATACATCCTCCGATAAATGTCCAGTAAAACCATTCATAACTAAAGCAAAAAAGATATGAGATGTCATCCAACTGAATTTAAAAAAAAATACTTGGTCAATCCTCCTTGTGTTCAAACACAAATAACAACTCTAACATGCATATCCTTAATGAATTGAATAGAAGCAATATCAAAACATTTCTTTTTGAGAACTCTCCAAAATATTTCTCTTGGAAACTTATCATAATTTTTTTTTTTAAATCAACAAAAGTCATATGTAGATTCTTGTTACTCTCTCTATACTTCTCCATCAAACCTCTTAATAAATATATAGCTTCAATAGTAGACTTGCTCGACATAAATCCATATTGATTTTGTGAAATTTTTGTATCATCATAACTGATGTGCAATTCTCTCCCATAACTTTAATTTATGACACAATAATTGAATTCTTTTATAATTTTAATAATCTTGCGCACCCCCTTTATTTTAAAAAGTAGGAAATAATTGACTCTTGACTCATCAAACAGCTTTTAGGTTTTAAAATAATATTTAGAAGTTTAGTAAGCCAAGAAATTTTTAGATCTAATAAACATTTTCATACTTATATTAGAATGCTATCAAGCCTACTGCTTTTCCACACTTCATTTTCTTTAAAGTCTCTTGAACTTCTATTTTACAAATAAAACGGAAGAAATAAAAAATTTGTTATTATTTATAATATTAAGATCACTAATGACGGAAATATTTTTACAATTTTCATAGAGAAGTTTACCAAAATATCTCACTAAATAGATCATATTTTCAATAATTAGGTATTAATATTAATTTAATGGAAAAAAATTTAATATGAATTAAGAAGAATTTAAAGGTGCCATACTATGCAATGAAAGAAATCTTCCTGAATTTTAAACAGACGAACTAAAAGAACAGCCTTATCTTTTGAACTGTTTATGAATAATTTAGGAATAATGGATTTTAGCATATAGACTACAAAACAAAACAAAACAATCGTGTGAATTGCATTTGCTAAGGATCCCAAAATTTTCTATGTATACCAATAACACTAGCGGATTCCAAGCATTTACACATTATGATTGATTTATTGAAAGTATGCTAGTTACAGTTAAGAATCTATTGTTTGTTACCACGATACAGTGCCAAAATTCAAGTATATTGAACTCTGCCATTCATCTGCATTGATTGGAAACTAAACACAATAATTAATAATATACTTTTTAAGCCTTGGGATATATAATGCAAGGGACTGTGTCCTTTTAATAAAAAATAATATTTCTCACAAAAATTCTATCCACCTACAAATATTTTAAACTTTAATTTTTTGGGTGTCCTGTCTAATAAATCAGATTAAAGAGAGACAGAGAGATTGGCCATCTAATTGAAAAATTGGAATTTGTAGCTAGAAACAACAGCGTTTCCTTTACTGATATAAGCTTTTACGATGCAAACCTGTGGAATAAAAAATTCAATCTATGCTCAAAACCAGTATGCAGCATTTCCAAGCCCACTTGTCCTCTTTCTTCAGCAGTCAAATCTGGGTGGTCACCGTGCAAGAGATTTTCATATGTTTTACCGACATAATAAAGAACAAAAGTATGCTCTTTAATGAAAAGACTCGACATTGTCGGATTTCAAGCCCCGGATGCGAAAAAATGGAGGGTTGAGTTTAGTCAACAGCCAGCGTAAAATTTTGTCAAAGAATCTTTAATAAATCAGATTAGAGAGAGAGAGAGAGAGAGATTGGCCATCTAATTGAAAAATTGGAATTTGTAGCTAGGGACAACAGCGTTTCCTTTACTGATTTAAGCTTTTACGATGCAAACCTGTGAAGTAAAAAATTCAATCTATGCTCAGAACAAGTATGCAGCATTTCCAAGCCTACTTGTCTTCTTTCTTCAGCAGTCAAATCTGGGTGGTCACCATGCAAGAGATTTCCATAGGTTTAACCGGATATACTAAAGAACAAAATTATGCTCTTTAATGACAAGACTCGGACATTGTTGGGTCTCAAGCCACAGATGCGAAAAATGGAGGGTAGAGTTTAGTCAATAGTCAGCATAAAATTTTGTCAAAGAATAATGGCATGAATCCTTCAAGAAAAAGGATTCATATAGTCGACCCCACTCAGTGGGATAAAGGCTTGTTGTTGTTGTTGTTGTTGTTGAATGAAAGACAACAAAATGTTACGACAATTAAACAAAAAAAAACTTTACTCATCTGATCACAGGAAATCTTTAGTGATCCTCTTAGGTTAAAATGGTACAACAAAATGCAAGGAAAAAGAAGAGAGGCAAACTAAAGCAAAAGAACAAGGAGCAACAGAAACTTAGGGCAGCAAAGGCAAACCTCAAGCCATTCAACATTGATGAAGGATCAACAAGGCGGTTCAGAAATGGCATTCACCACCCTCGCCATAAATGCAGGCATCACACAATAAGCTTTGACCAAACGCCATACCCTAGAGAATGAGTGAAGCTTCAACAGCTTGCACTGCACTAATTGAGTGCAGTTGGAAACCAAATAGAAGCATCAATTTGGAGGCTTCTGTTTTTTTTTTCTTTAATTTCCCGCCTAATTATGTTTATTTGAACTTAATGGATTAAATTCTATGAAGAACAGTCATGTCTTCTATGTTTACAAGTTGTTGGCCAAGGTTCTCTAATAAAAATCCGTCTTAGTAGGACTGAGGGATTGGAAGGCGTATGCCAAAAAAAAAAAAAAAAGCAATTGCAGCAACCTGTAGATATTTCACAAGACACCGTTAGTTCAATGGGTGGATTTTGTACATGTAAGACATATAAATACTTGGAACCCTACCAATCCTCTATATATAAGGGGCGAGATTTATAGGCAATATATTCCAAAGGTTGTCAAAATTACGAGAGAATAATTAGAAAACTCTCCGAGATGTTTTGCTTTTAGAACAGGGTCATAAGTCCCAATATATGGGGCATATTATTATAAAGTCAAAATCACCACTTCTAGGACCAACTCTTCTGTGGAAAAAAAGAGTTCACAAGATTCCTAAAACAATAACCATTATGTAAATGAAGTAAATGAATAAATATTTTTTTCTTGGTACAAGACATTGCCACCAGTCCCAACGTTATGCATTCTCCATAATTGGAGTTGTAAGATAGAGTTGATAGGATCTATATCCCAACAACTTTAAAGACCCAATCATCTATACAAAAGTTATGAATTGACAAAGCTAAAGAAATAATAAATTGACATTTCTCTAAAATAAGCAATGTAACCAACTTTCATGAGTTGACTCCAAGTCGTACAACAAATATTAAAAATCACTCATTTGAATAAAGAAAATACAAACAAAAGACAAGCACAAAGAAGGTGCATGTCATCTAGTAAAGGTCAAAAGGTCGTATAGAAGACCAATGTGTTAAGTGATTAATATAAAACTGAAGCAATCGATTCCATCACTCTAAGAAAAGTACTACAAACAACCAAACACAAATCAAGTTTCACCTAAAGTCTGTTTGGCACAACTTTCTGCTTGTGTTGTTTTTCAAACTGCCACCATAGTTCTATCTGTGATAAAAAAGCTATTTTTTTCACCCTAAACTATTAAAGTGTGTTAGCTGCCCAAAAACTACGATCTAACTTTTTGAAAATAAAATAAATTTGTCAAAGCCACTACAGTTTTTTGAAAATCAATTTCTTCTGCAGTAGTTTCACATCTACTTCTTCAAACAGCTGCAACTGCTCCAAACAACTGCAACTGCTCCAAACAAACCCTTAATCATTTATTTGATATTAATAAGCCAAGATAAATCTACTAGGACCAATTCTCCCTTGTGATAGGGAACACTACAAATAATACCTCAAGAGGATCATATATATAACTCCAAAATAAAGGGGCATATTCAAGGTAACTACTCACCCATATGACAAGTGTATCATAATTAACAAAGTTATCAAACATGTTGAAACTTCCCCGCTAAAAATAAAGAAAGAAGATGAAGATTCCAAATCTAAAAAGGTCATATCAAATCAAGCAACACACATGCATTTACATTGCAACTTGATTCCACAATCCCATAACTTTTCTCCCAAACTAGGGCACATGTTGGCTTTTAAAGAATCAAATCAATCCAAAAAAGAACTTGAACCCTACATCAACCACTTTCCGCTACAATATCATTTTGTTAGAAATTGTGATACACACAATCAATTAAAAGAGAAATCTATCCCTACATCAATCCATACACAACTAAGTTGAGAATAGTTTATCAACTTGCACTCATTTGCATGGCAATTTAGCTCCCCTCAAATCAATCCTATAATAATTTGATCCTTAAATCAACTTGTAAGCAACTCCATTGTGACTTGAGCCAAAAACCTTTCAATACATATTTACATTTCAACCATATCAATCCAATAAATAATAAATTATTAGATTAACCTATAACCATTTGTATTACGTCTTAAACTTGCTAACACACATTTACAATGCAATCAGAACAACCCAAAGAAAATTCAAACTTCAAATCAAACTATATGTTTTTTAATCCTTGGAAAGCATCCATGAGGTTAAATCAACAACACTGAAGGAGTAAGATTGATCCAAAGGGATACTTTGTTCAAAAGTACACAACTTGACAAAGATCTAAACAGTGGCCATTAACAGCTCAAGTCAGCTCAATTTGAAATACATTATGACCACCAAAGAAAAATAAAAGCACCAACAAGAGAAGGTCAAAAAGCCCAAAACTTAAACAAAATAACAATGATATTCAGCATACTCTCTCGTCTCCGTCAAAAGGAACCCTTAAACACAACAAGCACTAACAATAGTTAATCATCCCTCCAAACATCAAGTATAAGCCTAGAGACATCTACCAAAGATCAACCATTTTCTTTGCATGCCCAGGTCTTCTCTTCAAGGAAACATCAATTACAATTGGGTAAATTTAGATGAGTTTCAACCTCAAAAGAACCTTGCCTTGCTTTAAAATCCTTAAAGTAGAGGTACCACGATCCAGCGGATCAATTGTCACACATTCCTCATCTCAGAGAAAAATCAACAGTCCTCTAAGAAGTCTACCATAAAAAATCACTCTCCAATTACAATGTGTTTCAAAATCTTGGGAAATAGATACATTCACTGAAGAAAAAGAATCTTCACAATCATCATCACCAAGCTGACACATCAACCCAAATTGCATCAGCACTCAAAGACCATCATCAACAGGCAATGGAAATAAAAAACACAAGCACATTAGCGCACACCAAAGGTGTAGCAACAAATCACATGCATTTAGACTTTCTTTAATAGAAATATGTTGTTACCATAATTAGAAAATATAAAATCATGCACTCATAAGAGATCGACCAACTATTCTATAATTTCCCTATCAATAGTCATGAAAACAAGAAACATGGAGAAGTTTTGCATTTTGTTGAGCGTTTCTGGCAGGAACTAAAATTGAAATATGGCAGATTTAAAAAAGTGATCTGGAAGAAAGGTTTTAACAAATAAAAACATTAACATGGCATGCTAACACATGGAATGTTTTGCCAAGACATGTTTTAGCATTTCAACAGCATTGAATGGCCTTGTTCAGCATCAAGAGCCAATGGAACACTCATTAGCAACATGAAACAAAAAGTAGCCATGACTTCTAAAAGAATTTATAACTTCCAATTTTGTCATCGATCATGTGAAGATTTTAGAAAATAGGCAAGCAAGAGAAGAAGACAACATAAAAGTATAAATGTTAACTTGATTTTGAATGATGGAGTAGTCTGATAGCCAAAGAATGCACATAACATTGAAAAAAAAAAGGATTTTTGGTAGACATTTCATAGCTAATATGATAAACATTAGACTATGGCCATAAAACAGAATAGCGATAAAATATTATTGGACGCCATAACCAAAACATATGCTCTTCGGCTAGATATATGTGCAACATATGGCATATTGGTAGATTCAAAACAGCTTTCTATGTTTAAATAATTATATGAGCGCATCTAGAAAACAAGGCAACCTAATAACGATGAACATACCTCTGCACATTCATTCAATGAATCCAACATAGATGCACATATTTCAACCTCGGGTTCCTACAAGAAAATGCCACAAAGAACAGAAAATCATCAGAGCTAAATTATCATAGATACATGTTAAAAGTAACTCAAAAATACAGGAGTGCCGGGAAAACCTTGTGAAGAGCTTCCACTAAAGCTGGAATTATGTAATCTGACAGCTGCTTAACATAGGACTCATCACGACCAGATGCTTGCCCCTTCTCTACTGCTAACTTTGCTGATCTCAAAAGCTCTGGCATAGCTGAGTAAAAAAGAAAGCCTAAGTAATTATATTTGCAAAAGAATTAAAAGAAAGCAAAGGGATAAAATTAGTACCTGATACAGCAGCCTTCCTAACTTCTTCATGAAAATAAAATTTGAGAAGGGGGACCAATGTGGGAGCAACCTACAGTTAATATGGTTACAGTTAACCCTTTTTCTTTTATTTGACATAAAAGCCCGAAATTTAGTAAACATGCAGATTCATTTTTTGTCATTATAGACCTGATCAATCCATGGAAAGAAACCCTCCTTGAGCTCATCAGCATAACAACCAAGCATGTTACATGCCGTAGCCTTTTCCTCCAACACGCTAGTTCTGATCCCAATCCTTTTATCCCCAAGGGTAATCGTCTCTATGCTGCATTTAAATACATTCTTTCTGAGAACCATAACAACGTAGAACATAAGCATGTTTCAGACTCATACATATTGCATAAGCAGAACTTTTCTAATGTACCAAGCATGATAGCCAATATCTTCACAAAATAAAGATCATATTGTACCAAAAAAATGCAGAATAAATGAGAGGAAATAGTAATTGCCAGCTCATAGAAACACGCCACAAAGCCAAAATAAAGGAAAATGAAAGCAAATCAGTGAACTAGCAAACCAGTGATAATAGAATAAAAGCGACATCAAAGCTAGTCATCAATTTGGATGATATTTAGAATGTGTACCTGTCATCATCTGAATCTTCTACTTCCTCATCTGTGTCTGCTGATGTTATGGTAACATCAGGTTTTAGCTGAGCAGATTTAAGCAATGGAGGCATGACAACATTCATGTATGGAAGAAAATCTTGACCTAGACACTTGCAGAGCCTGGCCCATGCCTGCATAAAAGACAAGTACCTTAAACACAATGAGATAATACATGCAAGAAAAAAATAAATAAAAGAAGATTCACACATACCACTCAATTATTTTGTATGTACTTATATAACACCCAAATTCAATTTTTAGATGCATACCACCTTGCCTATGTATGAAAAGGTGTATTTCACTTTTTAAAAGTTGAGGTAGTGGCATGTGATATGAGAGATTTGGGTCGTATAAATGTAAAAAAAATGAAAGTTTAGGTGCAAGATATGTAAATACATAGGAATTGGGTCGTATGCATGTAAATGCCCCAAAAATAAATTACCCCAAGCTTTAAACATACCTGAAGTATGTAACTTGTTATAGGATCATCGCTTTCCAACTGTGAACCTTGCAACGTCATCAGTACTTCCATTACCTACAAAAAAATAAGCATTAAGGGATCAAGCCAGGCATGGAGTAATAAATGTGCACCTGAGCATATGACAAATAGTTTAGCTTGAAAAAATTACAATAACTATGACTAAAACAGAAGTTTGGCAATACCTGCTTAGCATCATCCCTAAATTTATCCTTACCCACGGCCATTCCAACCAAACTGATGCACTCCATGGATTTGGCACGCAACATTCTATTTGATTTGTCAGTGGCATTCATCAAAATAGCTTTAAGATACGGCATGACAGCATCATAATATTTTTGGAAGTGTTCCTGATTAAATAAGCAAATTTCAAAGCTAGTCCACCACAATGCTAATTAGAAAAAAAAAAACCCTTGAGGAATTTTTTTTTTATTACCTGAGATGAATCAGCAACTGATGCTAAAGCTGTCAATGCTCCTTCTTGCACCATCTGCTTCCCATTCTGAATGAAACAAATAAAAACTGACACTTCCCATGCAATGCAAATACTCAAATTGAAAATTCATAAATAAAACTTCACAATACCTGAAGCAATACAAGCAGTTTGCTGACAATGCCATCCAGGTAAGGTGATAAAGTATCAGGCGTGCAGCTCTCAGTGAAATTGAGTACAGCTGAAGCAGCGTGTGCCTGCCAAGCAATAACAATGTCATGATTAAAAAAGGCGCCAATATAAGGTAAGTGTAGAATACTAGAAAGCCAGTAACAACAAAATTTTAAAGCAGAATTGAATTGAACCTGGCAAAAAAAGTTGTCTCGAGAGAAAAAATATGGATCTCAACTATCAAATAGACTAAAAAGTAAAAATGCTACTCCCAAACGGACAATAAGAAAACATAAATAACATTCCTTATTGAGAACTGCATTGAATTAGCAACAGTTAGGCCGTTTTAGCAGGGACAAGTTAATTGTCAATTTTTGTAATTGGTTTAACAATATGTTTTTATTTAAATGAAAATATGACACTAAATAGGACGCAATAGAAAAAAAGGATTAATAATGTAGCCGACCCCGCTTAGAAGGACAAAGGCTTGTTGTTGTTGTTGTTGTTGTTAAAAAAAATTGTTTTATTGCATGTGTAGAAGCGAGAATCGGTGCGGATTCAACTCTCAAACAGGTTTAGAACATCTAATCAATTCATTGTTAGATTAAACATCATTTTATAAGTACTTATCCTGCTATTCCCAGTTTCCAACAAGCAGTGCAAGCATGACCGTGAAGAAGTTTTATATTTTTTATCACCATGTAATATACCCATATCAATTACATCATATTTATGTCAGGTCAAAGTTTTATTTGCACCACATCTTAACCATAAATCCCATAAAATACACCATATCTCTTATCTTCAAGCCTCCCATTTCAACCTAAAACATACTTTGCCATTAACACATGCACAACTCAACATTATTAAAAAACAAGTCTGAATTGATCATTAGGGTGATACAAAAACAAGCCTTTATCCCACTAACTGGGGTTGGCTACATGAAACCTTTTTCTCCATTGTGTTTGAGTGTTATATTTTCATTTAATTTTAATGGAATAAGATCATTCTTTATACAATATGTCCAAGTTTTTTTTAGTTATACCTCTGTCTTTCTTAACATAAGTTGAATCTAAAACATCTACTCCATATATTTTAGATTCAACTTATGTCAAGATGGTCAACGTTTAACATTAAAAAATGCTCAACTATTTCAAAATACAAAAATTAATTCAAAATACTAAACAAAAATTATATCAAACCCTTTAATATATGTTAGAACAACAAAAATATAGATTCATCTCACTTTTGCAATCAAGTAAAACCAACCTAGCTCAACCAGTGTTTAGTCGAAGATAAAAATTTCCCAGAAAATTGTAAATGGTCAAAGAACATGCTATATTTTATACTTTTTAGAAAAAAAAGTGTTGGAAAATGAAAATTGGCATTGCAAATCATTCTACACATTACTTGCCTTGATCAAACCATAAAGAATAAACATGTTTAAAGTTTGACATTAATCCCGACCGAAGCATTGAGCCAAGATTTCTAAAGACAATATAACTGAAATAAAAATTATCAAATAAAAAAACTTCGGTACTCTATCTCATAAGCATTTTAGAAGGAGTGTGAATCCCTTGGCAGTTTTTATATGACATTATACGTGAAAATTATAACTATTACTAAGGGTCTGTTTGGAGCGACGGTGCTATGGCAATCAATATTGCACCGCAATTTTGTTTGTTTATGTAAACTACATTTTGACAGCCTTTTTAAAAAGTTGCTGCTAAAAACTGTGTTTTCCCACTGGTCTTGGTTAGGTGTGATGACAGCTTTCTAGCTGCACTCAGACTTAAAAAAAAAATTGTAATAGTCACCGTAGCTTTTTGAACATCAGATTATTCTTCCGTGGATAAGGCTAGCCATTTACATACATACCGCACAAGTCATATGTATTTACATATAACACCTTTACTTTCGTATTTACAAGCTTCGCACTCATGTCATATCCTTAACTTTACATCAATAATTGCACTATTACTTAATTTTTTATTTCTTTATCATTTTTTTCTACGATTATTGCTTCACTCCTTTGTCACAAGTTTGATTTATTTCTCATATAGAAGGCTTGTTCATCATGTTATTGTGTAGCAATATATATGAAAAAAAAATCACGTTACAAATTAAAAATGTGACCGGCTACTTTGTCATGCGTGCCGCTTGATAACATATATCACATGTGGCATGATAGTTTTACTGATTATGCAGATTAAATTTGAATTTGTGATATTAAGACATTAAATTTATTAAAAAATGTTATTTTGAAAATGTTATCTTAAAAATATGTATATATATATATATATATATATATAATGTATTTTATTATCAAGTAATAATTAATATTATCATATGTCATTTAAAATCTATTAAAAAAATTGTAATAATCACCGTAGCTTTTGAACATCACAGCTATTTTTTAATAAGTTGCAGCTGCCCCAAATAAACCCTTAAGGTCAAGATTGACACTACAGTCCCATAAATGACAATTCCTTGTGTAGACATTGAAGAAAAGACAGTGTAAGAAATCAAAGTAGTTTAGGGTAATGCTTAAAAAAATAAAATCGTACAACCTCTAAAGCTTCTGATAAGAAATTCAGAGAAAGCACGCCTTCTTGAAATTTATGATGGGACAATTTCAGAAAAAAATTTTAAACAGGCAGAGTTTACAACAATTTAATGAAAACAAGCAGTTGTGTGATATATAGTCAAGTTATGACCAAAGGTAACTAGCAAAAAAGGAATTAACATCCATAAAATTTTTAACAAGAACAATAGATAGAATTAATTAGTAAATATGAAATAAATTAATTAAAATAAAGCAACAATAACAATGTGCATCCAAAAATAAATAGTAAATGTGCTTTAGAAACAAGCTTTATACAAGCTAGATCAGGTTAAATTCATCAATCCTTTTTTCTTGGCCCTGATTAAGAGTTTTATTTGATGCAAGAGCGCCTCACATACATTACAGCTCGTTTATCAAAGGCAAGCCACCTTATCTTCTCAAATTACAACAAGCACGCAACAATTTTCAACTCTATAACACCTCTACATATTTCCAACAAAGCAGTTGCTTTCTCTAAAATAAGTCATGTCACTCAATGCTAGAAAATTAATGAAGAATAGCTCATAAGGCCAACCACAAAAAGATCAAGTGTGTCTAAAACTAATTTCATGATATCCCTTTCAAGTATTTGTTGAGGAAGGATTCAAGACTTCTTATTCTTATAAAACAGAACTCTGTTTCATTGACACACAGTCCCTACAAGCATCAATGCTAATCCAACACCAGCACTACTGAAACCACCAGCGAATCATGCCCTCATACTAGCATTGACTTGTTTTGGATCTCAAGTAGTAATCAAACATAAAGACCCTTATTAATCAATGATATTTCCAGAAAAAAGACTTTGGAGCAAGATAAGTATGTTGCATTTTAAACAATAATAAGTATGGTAAGAGAAATGACAGCATCGTGGAACTGCTTGCCTGGACTCGGGGATTCTGAAAATCATCCATAGCAGAGGCTAGAGCTGGAAGCACTTGCTGGTGATAATGGACTTGAAGATCAGGACCCAAATCAGTGGACAACTGTCCAATAGCATTTATAGCTGCCCAGCGTACACGAGGATGAGGATCTCTAAAAGAGCTTAGAACCATAGAGACGACCTGCTCCAAGTTTTTAACCATGACCTGAAACAAACAAACCAGAAGGAATAAGAGCTTCGAAGATTATGAAAAGTTGATTGCATCAATAAAACATAAGCTCGTTATACTGCATAAAGATGACAGAATATTAATAGTAACATAAGAACAAGTAAATTCTGCATAAAGATGACAGAATATTAATAGTAACATTAGAACAAGCAAATTCGAATAACCTGCCAAGATTAACTAAATGGCTTTGATTTTGATATACCTTGGAACACCCTTCTGCAATCTGTGCAAAAGTAATTAGTGCTGCATGACGTTTCTGCCATTCTGGGGCTGCTAAGTATTGCGGAAGCAACTCAGAGGCAACCGGAACAATGGTGTTCCCTCCCAGGGCAATAGATAGCCGATCAAGGCACTCTTGTGCCACACTGTAGTTACTCGTCTCTCCAGCATCCTCGTCCTCAGTTTCGGCACCATGCCAAGCGGGGTCATCCTCAATGTCAAGCAACATCTTCATAAGCACAGCAAAGAGGCTCCCAATGAATTGGGGCAGCCTTCTCATCATCCCCGGGGCTCTCTCACGGGCTTCAGCAAGAGTAATCACGAACTCAACCGCAAGATGCCTGGTCCCTTCCTCCAAGCGATCGGCTTCAGCAATCTGAAGCATAGAACCAACCACATCAGCTAGCTGGCGCCTCAGAAACCGTGGCTCCGTGCCTGCAAGCTCGATAAGGAGCTCAAGGGCCTCCTGGGCAGTGGCCTCGTTTCCAGAATTGAGCGCCTCCGTAAGTGTTCGCATCATGGCGGGAAGGAGGTCCTGGAAACGCTCACGGTCTGCAGTAGATTCAAGGCACTGGACAAAGTTGATCGATGCCCCAAGCGCAGCGATGCGTACATCCGGCGACACAGAATTGGATAACGAGTTGAGGAAGACCGAGTGAAGCGTAGGGAGGTGGGGAAGGAGTATATCGCCGATATACTGCGCGAGCTGCGAGAAGATAAGCAAGGCGGATTCCTGAAGGCGCGGAGAATCAGAGGTCACGGCCTGGAACATGAAAGGTAGGAGCTCCGGCCATGTCCCATCAGGAAGCAGGTTAGAAGCAAGCTCAGAGACAGTATCGCAGAGCTTCTTAGCTATACTCTTCATCTCCTCTCTCTGAACAGCGGACAGAAGAAGAGACTTAATAGAAGATTGGGTGGCGGGCGAGAGCCGTGACCAGATATAAGACGGCGACTCCTCCGAATCCCCTCCAGACGACGAGGTGACTTGCTTACGGAGGAGAACAGCCGCCATGGCGCGGATCTCCAGGGACTGTGACGAGTGCAGAACCTGTGCAAGCTTGAGAGCAAGTGCATCCGGGTGGCGGTCGCGGCATAGATTGAAAAGCGCCTCCGCTTGCGACCGTAGCTCGTTCGCCGACGACATCAACTGAGAGATCAATGCCTCGAAGGCGGCGGGATCCGCGCCGAGCACAATCGTAACCTGCTGATCCATCCCTCCGATGTTCTTCAACCGGGATCGATCTGCACAATCGACTGACTGATCGAAACGTGTGAAAATACAACAATTCGCGGATTAAGACGGAATAGGACGGAAGCGATTCTGCGCCGCACCTCCTCTTCCTCTCCTCCTCTATCTGGCGAGAGTCTCTGATCAAATATGATTAGGGTTTGAGAGGGAAGATGAGGTCGTCGTAATTTCGGAAAGAATACGGGCCGAGCGGGTTTTAAGGGGGTATTTTGGGCTCGTATTATCTGCTCTTATTAGCTGTTAATTAAAATAATATTATGCAGGCTGAAATGGCCCGGAAAGTAGAACTACTTTTTTTTACTGAGTTACGTGGCACAAGGAAAAAGGTTGATGGATAGATCAGCGGCTGGTGCTTTTGGGTGGATTTTGTAATGTGCAATTATGAAAAGTCGTTTTAACAACGAGACTTGATGAGGGTTGGCTGCTGGGTTTGGGCTGACGTTCATTGCTCGGAAAATTATTCCATACATGCAATTTTCATGTGGTATTCGGCCCCATCATCGCAAAATATGTAAATTTCTTATTTTTTAACTCCTGCGGCCCGAACCGACCCTTCTTTTTTTAGAAAATGAAAAACATAAAAGTCATTTCTCGGGTTTTCCCTCACTTTATTTTCTCACTTAAGGGTTTGGAGCTGTCGAAATGGATTGCTCTCTGGACAAATACAACGACAACGACTTCCAGATCCAAGTGAATTTAGCGTCGCTCAGAATGTTTTCTACGGAGAAAACGACAACGACTTCCAGCTCCAAGTGAGTTTAACTTCCCTCATAATGTTTTTTTGATCTGGAGGACATTGTTGTAGTTTGGGTTCTAGGGTTTGTGCGATTTTTATTTTAATGGATATTTCTGGCATTTGTCTGGATTTATCGAAGGTTTAATTAGTTAATTTAATAGTTAATTTAATTATTTATTGGATAGATACTTATGACATTTGTCTCATTACATGTGTTTAATCAGTTATTTCTCTGAGTTTATCGATGGTTAATTTAGTGGTTTTCAATTTATTTGAAGTTGTTGTTGTTGTAGCTGTTTTGGTTTTAAGTGTTACCGTGATATTATCTTGACAGTATTCTCGTTATTTTTTTAATGAGGGATGTTAGTGTTATTGTGGGGTTATTGTGGTATTATTATGGTTTTATTGTTATGTCATTGTACTGTTGAAGATAGTTTTATTCCTGCATTTTTGTGGTTTTATTGTTGTGTGATTATGGTGTTATTGTCATTGCTTTTTTAGTAGACGCAATTGTTTTACTATAACTTAAATCATTGCATGCAGGAAATGAGTAACTAGGGTGAACAAGCCAAGTACTATTTTTTGAACCATTTTGATACAAATTTTGTGGGCAATGAGATAGCGTTATTTAATGACTCATTGAGGGCTTGGTTAGAATCATGAAGAAGCTGAAAATTGTAAGATATGTAATATTCATTTTATTGGAAGGGAGAGTTCCTTGATTGCTCTGAAGAAATGAGATGAACTTATTTAGTGATTCAGCTAATTTTGAAAGATATGCGGTCGAAAAATCATTCCCCTCAATTATCAAAGGTTGATTAAGAAGAAGTTTCAGATTGTTCGCTCATTTAAAGTTGAGGTAGTTATAAAATTTGGTGCCAATGGAGAAGATGTGATTTGTATCGGGTAAGTCGTAATGGGTTTGCTAAATTGTGAAAACAGAATAAAATGTAATTGTAAGTTATGATGTTTTGGACTTCTTAAGTCTCATGTCAATGGTGTTCCGTCAGGTGAACTAGTTGGAACACCAATTACATGAGAATTAAGGAGTCCAGAACATCATAACTTGCAATAACATTTTATTTTGTTTCCACAATTTAGCAAACTCATTACCCTGAATTACTCAATATAAATCACATCATTGTCATTGGCATCACAATATATAACTACCTTAACTTTAGATGAGCGAACAGTCTGAAACTTCTTCTTAATCAACCTTTGATTATTGATGTGAATGATTTTTTGACTGCTTATCTTTCAAGGTTATCTGAATCACTAAATAACTCAATCTCCCTTCCACTAAAATAAATATTACATATCTTGCAATTTTCAGCTTCTTCACTGATTCTAACCAAGCGCTCAATGAGTCGTTAAGTAACTCTATCTCATTGCCCACAAATTTAAGCAATAGAGTTGGAGCTGAATCTACAAACCAACGGACCGACCTCCCCTTCGCCGCATACTATTGATGTTTTTGACTGACATAGATGTATTAAACGGTGGTTATTGTTGTATGTTTCATTATGTTTATTCGACCTCCTGTAATATCGTGGTATTATTAGTGAATTATTTGAGTATTATTGTTTTATGTTTCATTATGTAGCATTATTATTTTATTGCGGAGTGATTGGAGTTTTATTAACATCACGGTGATGTATTAGTATGGTTGTATTATGGTATTATTTGGGTCTTATTGCGGTAGCATTGATGTTATTAGCTCCGCGGTATTTTTGTAGTGCACTGTGGTGTTATCGTGATTTTATTGTTGTGTTATTATGTTTTTATTAAGTAGAGTATTAGTATGGTTATGGTTATATTATGGTAACATTCGAGTGTTCCTTTAAATTGAAAAAATCTTTTATCACGTGGGACCCGACTTTACTCCCGCCCGAGCGCTTCGAATAAATTGAACGGAAACATAATATGAAATGCTTATCGAAAAATAACTCCAGAGGAAAACCGACAGGCGCACCACCTCTTTTGCCATTTGCCATCTCTTTAGGGTTTCGTGTCTTTGTTCGTCGGTCGAAGTACATTCCCTAGTTCACCGCTAGAGTTCAGCGTATCAAGATGGACGCCGAGCCTTCTGAGATGAAAACCCAAGAAAACCCTACAACAGTGAAAGTTGAAGAGCCGTTGAGAATAGATACCGAAGATAAGCCGTCGAGAATGGAGTTCGATGAACAGAATAAGAAAAAAACCAATGAACGTAAGAAAAAGGTTATTGAAGAGGATTCCTCCAGGTAATATTTTATTTTCGTGGTTATTTATTCTTTGAAAAGATTATCAACAATTCTTTTAAATAAAATACAGTATACAGTTCCTTTAATTAAAAAGTTCCTTTAATTAAAATGCAGTTCTCCTATACAAAACTTGATTAATACTGAATAATAAAGGCAAAATAAAACCATAATAATTCCATAATATTAGTTAAAAAGTTAATAATGTAATATAACCAAAATATAACATAATAATATCATAATAGTATAAGAATAATACCATCGAAATATAACCTTAATAATATCGTAATATAACTGTAATAATACCGTAATAATATCGTAGAACTATGTGAATGATACCACCAAAATATAACCATAATAATATCATAATAAAACCATAATAATACAATCACACCCGAATAACACCTTAATAATGACATTGAAATGTTATTGATAACACCTGATATTTGTTGCATTGTATTATTTTTGTAGGTTTGTGAACCCAAGATCAATGAGTTGTAGATGTCGACCATCTATAGTGAGAGATGTGTTGGATAAGGTTAGGCATTCAATATCTGAGGACATGAGAAATGAGCTTAAAGCAATGAATGTTGAGCAATTCTTGGAGCTCACTCCTTATCCTCAAGAGAATGTCTTAACACTTCAAATTTTGCAATGTTGGCAGCACAATAAAATGATTTTCAAAATTGGAGGGAAAGAAAAGAGCTAAGACTGTTGTCTGATGAAGTTGCCCTGCTAATTGGCATGCCAAATAGAGATGCAGTGCCAAAGTGGAGTAAACGTTCATCTTCTTGCGTGAATGCCCAACAGATGAAAAATAATCTTTTAGACTTTGCAAGAGGGGGATCTTCTACCCCTTTTACTAAATTGTTTATAAATTTTTTGTTATCAAATCTATTTGTTATCAAATCTAAAATCTATTTTTTCCCTCCAGTATATTTAGTGTACCCGAAGGACTTAACAACTTTGGGGAGAACATTCATAATTTTACCTCATTTAATTGGTCGGCTGCGCTCTAAGATTTCCTTATAGAGCAAATTAATGCAGTTGTCATCAAATTATTGCGGAACTGACCTATTGGATACATAAATGATTTTTTTTATTTGCTTACGGTCAGTATATTGTATAAGCTGAATATCATTATTGTTTATTAATTAGCTTTTATGTTGAATATTTAGTATCTTGTATGCAGCTCTGGTTTTTTATCATACATATGTGGTAACTCCTGCCGATGTTGAGGTCAAACCCAGAATATTGAGATGACCAATAACTGTTGGCTTGAACTCCTCACATATAGATGTAGCCTTTAAGAGGCTAACCTCTGAACATGTCAGTCATTTTTACTATTGTTAAATAATTTATTTATGTAATAGTCATTAAGGTATTTTTATCCTGAAATAAATTGCAGGTCAATGATAAATTTTTGGATCTGAAAGAGGAGGAACTCAATTTACTGGCCAATTCAAATGAGGGACTACCTAGTCCAACGCCAGCTATACATTTTCAAAGTCGTCAGCCTGAAGTTAGAGCAGAACCTCCTGTGTCATATGATATGGGGCTAGTGGTCTCAGAGGAGACTGCCCTGGAACCAATTTACAATGTAATGAACAAGAATCTTGAAACAATAATTGATCTGATCAAAGGACAGGAGAAATGGTTCAAGAGTTCCAAGGGACTCTTAATACAATAATTGTTGGAGTATCGGGTCTGCAAGGCCAAATGTTTATACTGCAGAATAAAATTGATAAAAATGAAAAAGACGGAGTTGATACATGCAAAGTACTAGAGGAAGAATATGCCCAGCCCCCCCTCCCCTCCTGTTGTAATCCCACATGCTGATGAGGAATATGCCTAGCCCCTCTCCCCTCTTGTTGTAATCACGCATGTTGATGATGAATCTTTCCAGCCCCCTCCCCTTCTGTTGGAATCCCACATGCTGATGAGGAATCTACCCAGCCTCCCTCCCCTTCTGTTGGAATCCCGCATGTTGACGAGGAATCTGCCCAGCCTCCCTCCCCCTCCCCCCTATCAAACATCTTCTGTCAAACAAGGCACTGCTGAGGAAACGAGTTTACAGGAAGAAGTCTCAACTGTTGGAATGCTCACCCAAGTGACACAGTTGATTTCCAGCTTATTGCATAGGGTTAAGGGCCAACGCAGTCCTAGAAAAAAGGTTGTGAGCTCCACTTTCACTCCT